CCCCCCCCCCCGCACACACACACACACAAAGCCGTCATTTCTACACCATCTTTTCTGTCAACGACAAGCCGCAGTTTGTCCAGCTTGACGAGGGGGACATTTTCCCCACTCTGCGCGTCCTCCAGCGCTGTACGCTGCCCTACGCATATGCATTAGCACACACACACACACACACACAGCGTCAGGCAGGAGATGCGCGCCCACTCACAGACCAGTTGCTCCCATACACAGTCCCTCGCCTCATGCCTGGCATCTACGTCGATAAGGGTGCCGTGCGCCCCCTGATGGGCGGCTCTGACCTCATGGTTCCCGGTATCTACAAGCCCAGCCTCGAGGCCATCGGGGAGCTCCCGGCTGGCACCGTGGTGGCTGTCTATGCCATCGGTCTGCAGCATCCCTTCATGATCGGAAGGCTCACGTACAATGTCCGGACCATGTGCGTTTGGTGCAGCTTGTCCTCGGGCGATCCTCCCCCCGGGAACCGAAGACAGAGCGGTCCCATGTTGTTGCTGCTGGCCGTTTTACGCGCGCATTCCCCCCCTCCCCCCCCCCTTTTCTGACCTGTACTCACCCGCACTTGCACACACGCGTACACTCCGCTCCGCCAGTCTGGGCATGCAGACTGGCAACGTCGTGGAGAACCTCCACACCATGGGCGACGGTCTGTGGGAACATTCTAAGTAAACATCACGTGCATTGATGCCAACGATCCGGGATGCGCGTGTGTCTCTGCACGTCCGTGTGTGTGCCACACGTACACCGCGCGGGGCCCTGCCCCGGCGTGGCGTTGCCACCATCGTTGTCCCTCCCCCCCCTCCCTCCGAGTCTCCCCTTTCCCGCTTCTGGCGGCGGCCAACATTGCAAAATATACACTGTTGCCTTCCGTGTCGATTGTGTCCAGCCGACGTCCCCCCCCCACCCCCCGGAATATCCCTCTCCCCTTGCCTGGGTGGCTGTGGGGCCAGCGTGATCGAGCGGTACTGTCCTTGAGCGTCCGGCTTGAGAACGGCTCCACCCAGAGCCGGACTCCATACACACGACCGTCCTCCCCCCCCCCCCCCCCCCCCCCCCCCACACACACACACACACAACTACCCGCTTCACTTGCACTCCTATCCGCGATACACCCTCTTGTCCTGGAAAAAGAGACGAAAGGGAAGACAGCAAGCCAGCCCACGGAATTACCATGACCGCCTCCGATGCCGACCCCGTAAAGATGGCCCAGGACCTCTCCTCCTCGTTGGAGGAGCTGGCCGGGCTCCTGGCACCGATGATGGGGAAGCCGCGCCCCGGCGACGACCGCGCCACCTTCTCCGGGTCGCTGATCAACCCGGACCAGCTGTCGGTAGCCGACACGCTGTCCATCATTGCCATCATCAGCCGATCCACCCACCTGCTTGCCCAGTGTGCGTACTTGTCTCGAATCTGTGTGCCTCTCTCCTACTCTTGCCAAGCGCGCCCCCACCACGCCTCCCGGCGTCCATGCGAGCCAATCCTCCCCTTCTCCCTTTTCTCACTCTTCATCTCCGCCCCCTCGCTCCTCCTACTGATGCATATGTACCTATACGCACACACACACACACACACACACATGCATCCGCACGTCGATCGTAGCTTGCCTCCAGACTGCTGGCCACTCAACCACCGACCACCCTTCCAATGAGGCTCTGGTGCGTTCATCCGGATCTTGTCCGCCAAGCCGATGATCTACTCTCCTCCTATCCATCCCCTTCTAAACCCCTTCCACTTCTCTCTTTCTCTCACACACACACACGTGCCGGCCATTCCTCGCCACAGGAGTCCCTCGTTGACTTCACCCAGAAACTTAAGCGTCATCCTGCCCTGGCGGGGCGCCTGCCGGAGTTCCAGGATCCCGCCGCTACCGAGGTGGCGGCAAGCATCATCTCCAACGAGCTGGAGCTGCCGAAGAAGCGGAAGGGCGCCTCTTCGGAGTCGGCTGACCAGAAGCGTAGCAAGAAGTCGGGTGACTCGGCCGAGTGATCAGACACATTAACCGAAATACACTCATGTGATATATGCATTGTGCTTTGAACGGTTAAAACAGGGGCCAGGGGCCTGCTGTTTTGGCTGTGTCTGTCGAGCCCCCGGCATTGGTCAGCCATACCCGGGGGTACAAGGAGCAGCCATGTAGGACGTACTATCTCCCTCCAGCGGGGCATATCACCGGTGAATATGCACAGGAGCGCCGAGACGCAAGCATTGAGATCCGCATGCGGGGACAAGCTGCCAGAGGGGGGAGGGGGGTGGGGCGGGGGGCGGATGCCAGCAACGAACCGGTAACAATACGGGCATTCAGCCACGGGGCCGGCTTGGGCCTCGCCCCACCCACCGCCGCCCCCCCTTCCCGGCTCGTGGGAGCCGGCAGGGGCCTCCGTCGACGAGGCGAAGGTTAAGCGTGAGGCAAGGCTTAACTTGAATGGAGGACCTGTGGGCTAAGCCTCGGTGGGATTCCGAACAACCCGGCCAGGGGGGAGGGGTGTATCTGGCGAAGGGCTTTGGGCGAGGCGGCGAGAGGGGCAGCGGGGAGTCCAGGGGGCGAAGTGTGGGGAGGGGATGGTCCTGCGTCTGCACACGCGGCCGCCCCGCCTACCCGCCTGTGGAGTCGAGGCCGGGACAGGCGGCTGGCGATCTTCCTATTCCTGTGGCCCTGCCATTCACGCGCGGGCTCCCTGGCCAAGTGGCCAGAGAGGGGGCCCAATGGAGCGTCAGCGTCCTGGGTCAAGGGACGGGGGGAGGGGGTTGTGTGAGACCGTTTGTGGCCGATTTTGACCTCCCTTCCTGCTCGTCGGGCATCCGGAGGAGTCACTTCCAAGTGCAGCAGCCACCGGGCAGAAGGGCCGAGTGGATAGGCGCCCCCCCTCCCCCCCTCTTCCTTGGTTTCCACGGCTCAATCCTCTCCGAATGGGGGAAGATCAGAGCTGCGGAGAGACAGGCACCCCTCGCCGGGCGCGGTTCCCTCAGCCGGGGCTGGGGGGAGGGGACCGGGAGGCGGGCGAGGGGGGTCCCTTCCGGTGCAGCCCGTGGGCCCGCCTCCGCAAGCAGAGAAGCGACGTTGAAGAGGTGCCCCTTGAGAGGGGATCTCGCCCAGATGCCCAGGATATACACTCTCCCCCCTCCCTCCTCCTCCTCCTCTGCCTGCCCTTTGCCACGCCCCTTGATCCATTGACGAAGCAGCTCGCTTTTCTGACAGCGCGTTGTCTTTGGCCGCGTTGCCTGTCTCCGTGCGTGTGTGTGTGTGTGTGACCATCCATTTGCCAGTACATTTGCCTGTGCATGAGCGTGCACCTCGGCCGGACCTCGCATCACCCTGCCCCCGCCCCGCCTCGGTCCTGTCTTCGGCTGTCAAGGCGCACCAGTCTCGCGACCGCGCCAGCACACTGCACGCGTGCGCCGCCGGGCACCGGGTCAAAGCGACCATCTCGCTCGATACCGCTCAATCGCGCGCAACGAGAGGTGAGCCGAAAAAGAGCCACAAACATCGGCCATCATGAGCACGGCCAAGCACGAGGAAGGGGCCCCAGTTCCCTTCCGGGCGTCGCGCCTGGCGGCCTTCGCCATCCGGCCAGGCTCGGTGACCAACACCCCCTCCCCGCGCATTGGCACGCCGCCCATCCATGCACACGCACCGCCGGTGCCCGGCGGCAACTCGCTTGCCGATCGGCCCGCGTCCGGTGATGCGACCAGGGATTTCGGCCGCATGGACTACCAGGCGCCGGGGCACCCTCATGAGCGAGCCCCCCGGCGGCTTTCCTTCCTGGGCCGAAGCCAGGCCATGCCGCTGCAGTCGTCGGGCGCCTGGTCCGACACCGGGTCCAGCAGCCAAGAGAGTCTGCATGATGTGCAGTCATCACAGCACCAGCAGCAGCTCCAGCAGGCGCCGCCGCCCGCGTACGACCTGGCTGGCTCGATGGCGGTGCAGATGATCCCCGCGGCCGGCGGGCCGGGGCCCGACTCGGCGGCCTACTCGGCGGCCAGGTGGAATGCCACTTCGCCACCCTATCCCGAAGACGTGTCCGGCGGGGGCCCCGGAAATGGCCATGCGACGGGCGACCCGAGCCTGGACATGGCGCGCCAGCAATCGTCCTCAAGTACGCCGACGAGCGCCCGGCCAGGCCAGCGTGTGCGTGTTCCCCATCCTCCGGCAGGGCCCGGTGGCGGTTGCTTTTCCTTTCCATGGCCGGGGAGACATGTCCACCAAGCGAGAGGGAGGGGTACCTGTGGGGCTGACCCGGAATGATCGCCCTGTCGCTGGCTGTACATGTGTGTGTGTGTGTGTGTGCGCGCGCGCGTGCGTGCGTTTGCGTGCGTGGGGCATTACAGCACCGACGCGCCACCGTGGCCCGCAATGTCCACCGGCTGCTGGCCGCACATCGGTCCTTTGCTCGGTTCATGCAATGGTGCAAGATGGCCGTGTCCTTTGTGGAGGTGCGTGTGAATGCGACCCGTCAGGTGCTCCTCTACAGCGGGCCATGCCATTCCTAACCCGGGGAACTCCCTTGGGGGCCCGGCCATGCCCTGCTTCGCCCTTCTCCCTCCTGGCCTGGGCCTTTGGCGCCGGAGCAGATCCTGGTCGACACGGCCGCCTTGACCATCGGGCCTTCGACGGGCCAGTGCGCGCCGCTTTTTAAGTTCCTGATCGCGCATCTGGCCATGTCGGCCGGCTTTGCGGCCCTGTCGATAGTCACCCTGGCCCTGATGACTGGAAGCCCGGCCGAGGAGAGACGCCCAGTCAAGTAGTGCGTACACATGGCCGACGTGCGGAGGCGGAGGGGGCAAAGTGGCGGTTCGCACTCGGTGGTGCCCATACAAGACAGCTGCACCCGGGCCCCGGCGGTTTCCCGGGGGGGGGGGGCCGGGTGGGGCCGGAAGCCCGGGCGGCAAGCGGTGTGGCCACGCGCAAGAGCGAACGCGAAGCACTGACACCCGGGAAAATGTGGCGGGCGGATGGGCGTGTGGGAAACACACGGCAGTGCTCGTCGGACCCTGCGCGTCATGGGCACGGCCTGGTTCGCCGGGGCCCATTGGTATATGTTCCGCCGCGGGGGGTACACCCTGCACCGGGCGCCGGTCATGCATTGGACCACCGTGGCCTGGATCGTCAAGGGCTACATCTCCCTGGCCATGCCGCTGATCATCCAGTTGGTGCTGCTGACGTGCCTGCCCTGTGTCATGGGAGCCTGGTCGGCGGCGGCGACGGGAGCGGCGGCGGCGGCGAGCGCGCGCGCGGCCGCCGGTCAGCAGGGAGATGGCGGGAGGCGCGGCGGCTCTTCGGCATCGAATGCGCCAAAGGTCGACAAGGGCGCCGATGAGGCTCGCATCAAGAGTGCGTATCGTGGTGCTCATGGCATATGTGGCGGCGTGGGAAGAGCCAACCCATGGGGGGGGGGGGGGGGCACGCACCAAAGGGCCCGGCAGAGATGAGAGTGGATGCGGGCTAGGCGGCGACCGGCAAGCGGGGGACTCGGAGGACACGGATGCTGACCCGCGCCTTTTGCTTCATCCTGCCACGGGCGGCCGGGCGCGATGGCCGGGCCCGCATGTGCAGATCTTCCAGCCTTGGTGTTCCAGCCCGGCGGGGATCTGGCCGACGACGACGCCCTGTGTGCCATTTGCCTGGGGGATTATGAGCCAGGCGAGACGGTGCGTGGGCCTCGTGCGAGAGGCTGGACAGATTTCATGCCCAGGGTGTTTGAACCAAGGGGGGAGGGGGGGGAGGCACCCCCCTGACCTTTGCTTAGTTGAGGGCTCTGGAGGGGGGGGGGCAGACACGCACTGCCTTGGCGCTGGCGGTTGTGCCGCAGCCGCCTGAAATGGACAAGCATCCCCGGTGTGCGAATCCAGCATCCAGTCGATGGGTCTGCAAGGAGCCCCCTGGATCTGGATGGGATCCTCTGGAGAGCCAGCTCCAGTGCCTCGCGGGGAGTGGCTTTGCACATGTCGCGCGTCCACAGCCGAGGACCCTGCCGCCCTTGGCAGGGCAATATCACGGCCTGGCGGTCGGGACGCGGCGCGGCCAAGGCCAGACGAGGGCGGGCGGGCGGCCGAGGCGTACCGTCCGCCCGAGAGTGGGGGCCTGAGCCCCGCAACAGGCCTGAGCCTTGAAGGGCCTGGCCGGGTAGAGTGCCTTGGGCTCGGGGGGGGGGGGGGGGCCTCGCGTGCTGGCGACATGGCCCCGAGCCTGGACGACATGCAGGCAGACATTGGCTCCTCTGTTGTGCACGGGTCTTGGCCTCCCCCCCCCCCCCCCTGCCCCCGGAGGCGCGCAAAGACAGGGGGGGGGCGAGAAGGAAAGGCGGCAGGGTGGCGAGGAGACATGACCTCTTCCTCTCGAGCCATGGTGGCTGTGCTCCGGTGACTGACTGCCAATTTCCTGAACTTGCGTGGATGATGTGACGGGCCGGGGCCCCAGTTCCGGCGCCTGCCCTGCAAGCACCACTTCCATATGCGCTGCATTGACCAGTGGCTGCCGGTGAACAAGCAGTACGTGGAAGGAAGTGTGTAGGGGGCGCGCGGCTTTGGTGGTTGCATTTCGGCTGACCGACCTGCGTCTTGGGTGGATGGGGCCATTGGGCTCGGAAGCTGCCCGCTGTGCATGCAATCCATCGACTCGGTGCCCTCCGCGGGCGATGCATCGCCCCTGGGCGGGCGCGCCGACGGGGGGGTGGGCATCATCCTTGGCTTGAGCGGCCTCGGCGGGGCGCTCTTCCTGGGTACGGGCACCAGTCGCGCCTCTTCGCGCGGGTCGCTCGACGCCTCCTCGCCCGGGAGCAGCCCCGGCGGTGGGGCCCTGAGCACCGGCACCGAGGGCCCGTACCGCCTGCAGCAGCAGCAGCAGCAACAGCAGCAACAACATGTCCTGCCGACCGTGGGCCCAGGCAGCAACGGCAGCGGCAGCGGCAGCGAGGCGTGTGTCTCGGTTGCCGGGTCTTCCGGGCCGCGGGCCGGCCACCGCCAGTTGACCCCGGACCTCAGCGCATACCGGCTGCATGTGGCATGCGGCCGCTGTGGCGACCAGTACCCCGCGTCCTCCCGGCGATTGGCCACCGATGTGCCGGGGCTCTGCGGCCGGTGCCAGTCGGCGAACAGCGGCACGCCGGGTGCCGGCAGCGGCGCCGGCGGCGGGAGTGTCCCCGCCGGGGTGCTGGCTGCGCACCCGGCTGCCGGCGGAGCCGGGACCCCGGGCGACGGGGCCACGGGCGGGGCTCTGGCGCACCAGCACCTGGCCACGGGCGGCGGAGCGGTGGCCGCCAGCGATGGGTCGTTGATCCTGCTGCCAGGGTCGGCAGCCGGAACAACGGGCCTGGGCGAAGAGCGGCCCGGCTCCGGGGCTGGCGTCGGTGGTGCCACCGCCACCCTTGGTGGTGGTGGCGGCGGCGGCGGCGGCCGGGGAACAGGCCCAGCCGCCGACCAGGCCGACCTCCCCGACCGGTATTCGCTGGTGGCCGTGGCCGGCGACCGCGAAGGCCGCCATCCCACCCCGGGCGGCACCCTGAAGGTCCGCTCACCCTAGAGAGAGAGAGAGAGAGAGGGAGAGAAAGTTCACGCGTGCCGGGCCGGCTCCCCGCGCGGGGGCGGTGCCTTGGTGGCCACAAAGGCAGCACGGGAGCAGGGCGGCCCCGGGATGCCAAGGAGCGGCCGAGAAGCGCCCAGGGGCGGGCGGGGGGGGGCGCCCAGCCCCGTCTTCGTGAACTTGGCCCTCGGACCCGGCGGCCGAGCCGCGCCGCGCCGCGCCGCGCCGCGCCCACACCCCCCAAAGAAGGAGGCGCGCAGGGAGCGCGGGCCCGCCGGCGGGGCGTGAGTCCCCCATTGCACGGTGTGCGTGTGGGCCGGAGGCGAAGGGAGGGGGGAACCGGGCCGGGCAACGGTCGTGCGACCTCCGGCCCCTCCTCGCCCTCTTCCAAGCATCGGGGGGTGCTCTGTTCCGTAACATGCTTTTCCCCCGCCCAAGCGGAGTTACCTTCGGCGAACAGAGCACGACGGGGCGGGGCGGGGCGGGGGGGGGG